AGGAGAAGAAGAGGAGAGAGAGAGAGAAGAGTGGAGAGAGAGAAGAAGAGAGAGAGAGAGAGAGAGAGAGAGAAGTGGGAGAGAGAGAGAAGTGGGAGAGAGAGAAGTGGAGAGAGAGAGAGAGAGAGATGAGAGAGGAAGAGGAGAGAGAGAGAGAGAGAGAGAGAGAGAGAGAGAGAGAGAAGAAGAGAGAGAGAGAGAGAGAGAGAGAGATGGAGAAAGAGAGAAGAGAGAGAGAGAGAAGAGAGAGAGAGAGAGAGAGAGAGAGAGAGAGAGATAGAGAGAGAGAGAGAGAGAGAGAGAAGAGAGAGAGAAGAGAGGGAGAGAGAGGGAGAGAGAGAGAATGGGAATAGATAGATAGATAGAGAAAGGAGATCAAATGTTAAAATTCAGAAATGTAATGTAAAACTTCCTGCCCATTGATATTTCATCAATTATCTCCTTAAACATTAATTCTCACAAAATGCTTAACCCATTTGACATGAGTGATGAGAATATTTTTTAGTTGAGGTGTAGGGAATATTTTGCTAAGGGAAACTGATGCTAAATGGCAGGTAATACGGAAATATCATTATGAATGCAGAAAGCACTGGAAGTATATTGATTCAGGGGCTCACTTACAAGCTCCTACTGTATCTTTATCACCCTCATCTCCAAACAGGTGTAATGAGCCATGTTAGGAGAGGGCCATCTCAAGGGAAGAAAATATGCACACACACACACACACACACAAGAACCTATTCTTGCAAGGTGCAAGGTGTGTTAAATAAAATTCTAATACATTCTGCTCACCAAAACAGTCTATTGCTATCTTGAAACAGCATAACAAATGGAAAATGTAGACCTCACAAGAAAAAAATAACTAATTAATAATAATAAAAAAAAAAAAGAGGCAAGGCATCTCGATAACATGTATGATGCCTAATATCCTGAGAGAGCCATGTGGCAGCTAGATCCAATGATTAATAAGTCTATAATGATTTACACTAATCAAAGACATGATAAGAACATTTTCGGAGAGAAACAGGCACATAAAGTCACAGTATGATACAGTAGGGTGGCTAGTTCCATTCTCCCCCAACTCTGAAACCAAATGTAAATATACATTGCAACTACAAAGCTAGAGCTCCATTGCTGGGCTACACCACCTCCCTGTGTTTTGCTTATTAATAAGATAGGTAGTAATGCTTTACCTTCTTCTGGAGGCTGTCGGTTCCTGTCTGTGGCTTTGATGTCATCTAAAGTTACATTGTCTGAGGAAAACAGACCTCCATGCATCACCTGGACAAGAAAGTGAATTCATTAGCACTATCTCCACAGAGTGCCTGCAACATAAAACTATGAGTATTAAACATGGTAAAAATATACAAAACATATTTAAATGTCTTACCAGAACTCTTGAATTCAAGCAGTGACAAAGAGGCAGCCAGTTGTATACTTCAGTGAAGAGTTCTGCCATCTGTGCTGTGTATTTCGCCTTAACTTCCCCTTCAAACCCATACATCTGATTCATAGTTACACTTTCATGATTTCCTGTAGATAAAAATCATTGCAATAATAACCAAAAACTAAAGCTGTCCTATTCAAAGCTATGAGTCTGTTTCCTTGCATTCTGAGAATCTACTCTTTTAAAGCTAGAATAAAAACAACAGAAAAATAAAATCTATGTTTAACCCTAAATATCATCAAAACAAACTGAAAAGAGAATTTCATTAATCTAATTCCTAATCTTATAATCAAATATCTTGAGTATAATGCACCTGTCATACTTTTATATAAGCAATGACATCATCAATAATGAGAATACATCATTGATAATGAGAATGATAATACATAATCTTAGTAATCATTATGATAATTTAATAATGATAAAAGTAATGGTAAATAAAAGAATGATGATGATCATAAACAAAAAAATAATAGAAATAATAATAATAATAACGAAAACAGTGGTAATGCTGGTGCTAGGTCTTACCTCTAGACATGAAGAAATGGTTGGGTAGAAGTAGCTTATAACCAAATAATACAAATATACATTCAACAGAAAATGAACCCCTATCAACAAAGTCTCCATTAAACAGATAGGGATTTGTGGTTGATGGTAGACCATTCAATTCAAAAATGTTCATGAGATCGTAGTACTGGCCATGAATGTCACCACACACAGTGAACTTCGCATCATCAGGAATGGCGACATCAACCAATGTCGGCTGCTTCATCAGGTGTTCTTTCACATCTAGCAATATCTAAAGAGGAAAGAGTGTTATTAATACTATGAATCCTATCCATTTAATATCAATATCCTAGTATACTTATCTGATCAACAGCAAAGCTAAATGTGATACACACTATACCTTGTATGCATATCGCCGATGAAGTTTCTTCTGAGCTTTATAATATTCCATTAATTCCTTCATAAAATGTTCAGTCACTTTTCCATCCTCAAGTCTTGGCCCAACATAATCATCTTCTATGACTGAAAGAAAAAGTGATTTGATTCCATTAATATTAATTATGAAGTCAAGTGTTCTCACTGATAACTTCTCTTATTTTTGTAATTATGAAACATATTGTTACTGAAATTAACCCCTTGGATCCAGATGCTTCACTACCTGCATATGGCACAAAATACAGGCAGTAGGCTCACTGGAGGGACCATTCTGAATGGGGTGCGGGTACAAGTTATTGAGAGCAACACACAAAGATAGAGGGAAATGGATACTGCCATCTTGTAGAGCATAAGAAATATAGCAAGAAACAACACAGTTTAAGCTCCAGCTGCCTCGTATTTATCAGTAAATGAAAATGTCTTCTACATATCATCACTCAGAGACTAAGTCCATAACCCTCACACAGCCAGAGTTCTTAATGTCTATTTTCCATAAGTTGGCATGAAATGCTAATAAAGGAGGGTACAGGGGGGTGTGCCCCCTGTCATGGGAATAAGTAGAAGGTAGGAAAGGTTAGGTTGAGTATTTGGGTTCACCTGATACCCTGGATTTGGAACTTGTTCTCTGGATGGTGCATAGCTCTCAGTAACAATTAGAGGTGTGTGATTTTTAAGCTGGGCACACTTGAACACTTGTTTCCCTTTGCAATGTCATTTTCTCTTTTCCTGCATGAGCACTGTTAGTTTTATGCCTTTTTCCAATGTCTATATTGTCAACTTATTTGCTTTATCCAAATGGTTACAGTTTTCCTTTCACAGACTTCATAGTATCTCTCTAGGTTGTTCATAACTCAGTGATATAATAATAACAATAATCAAACTTTTGTTATTTGTATCATTTATATTTTTTTATATTCAATTTTCTGTAATACAATGTCTGTTGCCAGTCACGTTAGGCAGAAACTGGATCCTGAGCATGGAAAAATTGTCCTCCCTGGAGCTGGCACTCTTCTAGTCATGGCTCACACAAGGTATATTCCACACTCATTTATTGATAGAATTAATGCAAAAGCCTTCATAGATGCCCACTGAGACTAATCACCCTCAGAGAACTTTGTGCACTCATGGCAAGTCATTCCTGTCAGCCTGGCCTTCAGTCAACATTCTCATTACTGTAAGTTCCGGTCACCTCAGCCTTCAGCCAAATTTTCATATGACAGTATGCTCACTTCACCTGTCCCTCAAGTCAAAATTTTTATGATATGGTCACATCATCCAGATTGCAAGGGTTAAAAATCAAAAACATTTCCCGAAATCTTAATCCTGATGTTATTATCTCTGCTGACTGTGATTATGATAATGTTATTAACAATACTATTAGTAATAAAAAAGAATAAAAAAGATTCGGAAAATCAAGGAAAAAGATAAACAGACATAGCTGCATCCACCCTTTGTTTCCACCTCATGGCAAGCCGCCAGGCAGGGACTCAGCCCATATCGAGCTCCTCATGACAAGTTTGATTGATCTGCCCAAGCCATGATCTCCTAGGTTGTCCCACAGGCCTCCTCCACCCAGTATTGTCTCTTGCAAAGGAAACCTGGTGGGCAGGATCATCCTGTGGGAATCAAGCCAGGTGGCTGTATAGCCTGAGTTGGCAATTTCGGATTGTGCAGGTAACAGGTCCTGTGCCAGTCTAACGGTGCAACCGTTGGTTGGACACATGGTCCCACCAACAGTACCCCATGATCTGGTGCAAGGACCTATTACAGAAGGCATCAAGATGAGACTCCAAGTCACAGGATAATGTCCACGTTTCATTACCGTATAGCAAAATTAGTATTATCAGGACCTTGAAAACCTGCTTGGCTTGTCCTTCAGCATGACCCCTGCTGCCAGGCCAATCTGTCTGCTGTCTTCCTGGTCAGACAGCCCACAGTTATGAAATTCACTACTAAGGTATGTAAAGTTCTCTATGATTTCAATGTCCTTGCCACAAGCATGTACCGACTGAACAGGTTCTCCTAGCAAGTCCCCAAAGTCCTGGATCTTGGTCCAGGAGACCTCTAGACCCAAGGGCTTTGCTTCATTACTAAATGCATCCAATGCCACCACTAAGGTTTCTAAAGACTCAGATAGAATAGCAACATCATCAGCAAAGTCAAGGTCTGTAACCTTAATATTGCCCACAGTTGCTCCATTATGACTTTGAACAGTATCTCTGCCCAGTATCCAGTCCATGCAAGTGTTGAAAAGTGTTGGTGAAAGGACACAGCCTTGCCTCACTCCTGAACTAACAGGAAAGAAGCTCGACAGGCCCCCACCACACTTTACAGCACTTTCAGTACCAGTATACAGGCTTGCTATTAGTCCAATAATCCTTGTTGGAATTCCTCTCAGTCTCAGGATCTCCCAGAGTGATTCCCGATGCACCGTATCGAACGCCTTCTTGAGGTCGATGTAGGCTGCAAGCAGCCCATGCCTGAACTCATGACATTGCTCTACAATGACTTGAAGTGCAAGGATACAGTCTATTGCGTTACGGCCTCTGATGCCTCAGTAGATGGTCTCTGATACATCTCAGAAGGATGTGGGCAAGAACCTTGCCTGGTATACTGAGCAGTGTGATGCCTCAGTGATTGCTGCAGTCCCATCGGTCGCCCTTCCTCTTCCAGAGAGGGATAACCACACCTCAGCAGTGAGGGGAACAGTACCGGACTGCCAGATGGCAGCCAGGACAGCATACAACCCCCATGCCATAGGTTCACCACCAGCCTTTAACAGTTCAGCTGGTATGCCACAATACCTGCTGCTTTACCACTCTTCAGCTTGGAATCGCCCCCCTAACTTCAGGTAGGAGGGAATCCTCACTGATGGGTCCGGCAACGGAATTATGGCACTACCCACATCCAAGTTAACTGTTGGTCCGTCAACCTGGTAAAACTGCTCAAAAACTCAGCCAACGCTCCCACACTGCAACAGGATCTGAGACCATCTGACCACTTACTAGGCAAACCACTGTCAGCTGTGAAGAGGGCTTGGAGTTCAGCTTTCTCTGGGCTTGGTATGCAGGACAAAGGTCATTTACTAAGAAATGGCCTTCGACCTCCTCTGCAAGACTCCTAATAAACTGTTCCTTGTCCCTTCTTAACAGAGACCGAGTTCTACACACCTGAGAACGGTGCAAATCCCGATCCCCTGTCAGACGAGCCACAGGACAAGCATCTGTGACTTCCAGTGTCTCCTGTGAGATAAAATTCTGTCTTGCCCTCAGGTGTTCGAACACCAATCGACTCTTGGGCTGCATCAAGCATTTAGCACTTGAAGGTGTCCCACAGAAGTAGAGGGTCTGTCTGATTGTTGAGCGCTGTGAAATGACCAGAGATTGCCTCAGCAAACCCATAAGCACACTCCTCCTCCTTCAGCCTGTCCAACTGAAACACCATAGGGTGATCATTGGCCCACTGGGCACTTGAAGTGGACCCGGAGGGTAGCCACAACCAATCCATGGTCAGTACCACAGAACTCGGCACTCCTATACACCCTGCAGTTCTGGAGGATCCTCCAACGAGTGCTAACGAGTATGTGGTCGATCTCCTTGACTGTATTACCCACATCGCTGTACCATGTCCAATGATGTGGGTCTGGGCGTTGGTACCATGAGCCAGAAATTCTCAATTTCTGGCCCAGAAAAGGAGGCTATTCTCACTACCGGTATCAGCTCCCAAACCATGAGCACCAAAAGGCATCTCATAGCTAACTTGATCACAGCCGGATACCGCATTGTAGTCACCCAGAACAATACAAATATTTCACCAGGGATAATTGTCTGCCATAGATGCAAGTTTGGCTTAGAACAACTCTTTCACATAGAGTTTACAAACATCAGTAGGAGCATACACAGCAACAAGAGACATGAAGCCAAATGCTAGATCATCGACTAGAGTAACCTCTACCACCAAGGGCTGGAGCCTACTAGAGATAGTTATGGCTACTCCCTGAAGATGGTGACCGTTGCTACGGCCTGACCAGTAATAGGTGTACCCACCTACACTGATCGTGCCACTGCACAATCAGTGTAGGTGGGTACAGCCACCCCAACTCTCAGCCTCCCCAGTTCCTTCGATAGTAGAGGCAAACGATCATCTTGATGCAAAGAGCAGATGTTCCATGCCCCCACCCTGAATTCCCGCCAGAGGTTAACCCTCAGGCAGTCACTCCGGGTGTATGCCACCTCTGCCACCCCCGCCAACGCTGTCCCACATAAAAGGGGGCAGCAATTGATAAACAATTGATAGACAACTGATAAACAAAAACACATTGTTGACATGGCATCCAGTCTTACAATCCCAGCAACATTGGATTAATAACCCCCATGAGAGCAAAATCGCTGATTAACTGTGGGACAAGCCCTCAGTGCTTATGCAAATATTACAGATGGATAATAGTTATGTTTGGCAAGCTCATGGCTTAGAATATGAGTGATTAATTGATTATGGATACAAAAACAGCCTGATGTAATTTCTGAGTCATGATATTAACCCGATGCTACTAGGGATGGCATTTACAGTATGGGATATCCACTGTCTGTTCAGTTTCTTAATTGTATTTACACACAGATGGCTCCAAAAGTGCTTAGTCACTAATGAGTTATTTACTAGTCTGTCCTACCTTACTGTTTAACCCAATGTCAACAGGAAAATAGTGCCCTTTGGCAATGCTTGGTTAAATGTTTCTGCACATAGATGGCTCTGCCAATGCTTAGCCACAAAGGAATCAATTGGTAGATCTTGCAACCTCACTTTTCCTTTAAAAAGCATGAAATCACTTTTTTTTTTTTACTAATGCTATCAATATTGACACTGTTATTTTTGCTATAAATATAATTACTATATTGTTACTGACACTACTAACAACAGTATTATATATTAGAAAATATCGAAAATCAAGGAAAAGGGTAAACAGGTGAGACAGGTAGTTTGTGTAATTTGATCAATAGTGACAGTACTTGTGGTGCCATCTATATGTAAAAAACAATTACTAAATTCAACACACACAATGGGCAATGGCATGCATGTACATACCATGC